AGTCATTCCTACCCCCAACGAGTCATTCTTACCCACGACGAGTCATTCTTACCCCGGAAGAGTCACTCTTACTCCCAACGAGTCATTCTTACCCCCGGCGAGTCACTCTTACCCCGATGAGTCATTATTACCACACAGGTCATTCTTACCCCTGATGAGTCATTCTTTCCCCACGACTAGTCATTCTTATCCACGTTGAGTCATTCTTACTCCCCGATGACTCATTCTTACCTCCGCTGAGTCATTCTTACCCTCAACGACTAATTCTTATGGCACGGTTTTTTCTTACCCTCAACATGTTAGTCTTACCACACAGGTCATTCTTTCCAATGATGAGTCATTCTTAACCCTGATGAGTCATTCTTACCACCACGAATCATTATTGCCCCCAGTAAGTCATTTTTCCCCCTCAATGAGTCATTCTTTCCCCAACCAGCCATTCTAACTCCCGGCGAGTCATTCTTAACCCCAATGACTCATTCTTACCCATGATGAGTCATTTTTACCCCCGATGAGTCATTTTTACCCCCGACGAGTCATTCTTACCGCCGACGAGTCATTCTTACCGCCGACGACTCATTCTTACCCCCGACGAGTTATTCTTACCCTCAATGACTCATTCTTACCGCCGACGAATCATTCTTATCCCTAATGACTCATTCTTACCGCCGACAAGTCATTCTTACTGCCGACGAGTCATTCGTACCTCCGACGAGTCATTCTTACCCCCGACGAGTCATTCTTACCCCCGACGAGTCATTCTTACCGCCGACGAGTCATTCTTACCGCCGACGAGTCATTCTTACCGACGACGAGTCATTCTTACCCCCGACGAGTCATTCTTACCGCCAACGAGTCATTCTTACCCCCGACAAGTCAATCTTATCAACTGACGAATCATGCTTAACCCCTGACGAATCATTCTTACCCCAACGAGTTAGTCTTACCACGACAAGTCATTCTTACCCCCGACGAGTCGTTTTTACCCCTGATGAATCATTCTTATCCCCGACGAGTCATTACTACCGCTGTCGAGTCATTCTTTCCTGTAACGAGTCATTTTTACCGCCGATGAGTCATTCCTACCCCCGATAAGTCATCATTGTCCCCGTCGAGTCATTCTTACCCTAGGCGAGTCATTCTTACCCTCATCGAGTCATTCTTACCCGCAACGAGTCATTCTTACTCCAGACGAGTCATTCTTACCTCGACGAGTCATTACTACCGCTGCCGAGACATTCTTACCCCCGACAAGTCTTTCTTAACCCCGTTGAGTCATTATTACCTGCAACGAGTCATTCTTGTTCCATACGAGTCATTCTTACCCTGGACGAGTCATTCATCTGGCCAGCAGCTTGTGGGTCACCTTCACCTACAACCATACAACTGACACACACACCTAATTGCCTCCGTCCATCATAAGTTCACTTCATTAACTGAAACCCCAGACAAACTCTCTTTACGCTATATTTGACGTATACGGTACATGTCTCTGAGTCTGTCTGTCATTCTAGTGGCTTTTATATTCAATGGCATTAAAGTGGATTTTACCAACGTTCGATTCTCTGAAATTTCGGTGTAGTTCAGCCGGCCGCTATAAGTTGACGGGGAATTTTTTATCTTTTAAGTCAGTGTGTTGGCTTCTGCAGTCACTGTGTTTTATAGATGTAACTGAGCTTGAGGAACAGCTGATTACTTTAATGCCATTTGGAATGTATATGACTGCTGTGGTTGATGGAATACAACTCTCGTTTCATGTCCTAAATGTCGCTGGTTCGATCCCGAGGCACTCCTAGTCCATGCAGTTGTAAATAGTTACTTAATTTTACAGTTGTAGTGCCTGCCACACTTATGTACCGAAGGGTTAGCACTCAAGTGTGCTTCTAAAGGTCCGTCAAGCCCACGGGAACATTATCACAGTGGCCGCACGTGTGGGGATTTGTTTATATTCTTATGAAGGTGTCGTCGTTGCCTGGTATCTGCAGTGGCTGCGTTAGTTCTGCTCAATATTTGCCTTTTAGGCTGAGAAAACGATAATATTTTGTTGAGCGTATGTTCATTTCCCCCGCACTGGTGATGAGAGAACCCGTCCCTTTGTGGTCGTCATAGCACCCTGTCTGTGTTACACCTCAAGCAAACCAATTAGTGGCATCATTACTGTACATCTCCAGTTATGGGAAATTTCATCTTTTGAGAAACCATCTTCGTACTGTAGCATGAAATACGAAATATATTTTTAACCTACGATCCTTTGAAGAAACTACCATGGTAGCGCAACTTACAGTAGATGAGCTAATTAGCCGAGTCCTCACATCTCCACTAAAGCTTTAGGACACGAGACTTTGAGAACCCTTTCTACCGCTCCTTCCACCCCAAGAGCCCGAGGTCCTGAAGTATCCCGAAGTAGAAAATAACATGATCAGCTTACCTGTGTTTATTTTGGATTATGAGGAGTTCAGTTATATTAACTGGAGCATGTTTATGTCTGTAGAATAGTGCCTTCTGATGTATGTATGTATGTATGTATGTATGTATGTATGTATAAACACACACACACACACACACACAATAATTCTCACCGTCCTACACATGCCTATTCACCACATACCATTCTGTTTGATCCAACAACCTCTCTCCTTCACTTCTACCATCTCTTCCTCCCTCCATGTCTCCATCCCTCACCATCACTCATTCCCTCTTTCCCTCATTACTCTCTCCTTCCCTCTATAACCACCACCACTCTCTCTCTCTCTCCCTCTTCTCTCCCTCACCACGAGTACTCTCTCCCTCTCTCTCACAACCACAACTCTCTCCCTCCTTCCTTCCCTCATTACCACTAGCATCTCCCTCCTTCTCTCTCTCACCACCATTACTTTCTCCCTCCTTTCTTCCCTCACCACCACAGTTCTCCCTTCTTTTCTCCCTCACCGCCACAACTATCCCCCCCTTCCCTTTCTCACTACCACTACTCTCTCCTTCTTTCCCTCCCTCACTACCACTAGTGTTTCCTTCCTTCTCTCTCTCACCACCATTACTCTCTCCCTCTTTACCTACCTCACCACCACAACTCTCTCCATCTCTCCCTCCCTCACCACCACAACTCTCTCCCCCCTTCTCTCCCTCACTACCACTTTTCTCCCTTCCTCGTCATCACAACAAACATCACTTCACCTCACATGCCTGATTTCTGCCTTACAGATCCCCCCGAGGTTCACGTGGCCGCAGGACCTTCGCTGGACCTTGACCACATTAAGGAGGGTGACGACGTGTACTTCGACTGTATCATCAAGGCTAGACCAGACGCCCACAAGATCAGCTGGAGCTTCAACGTGAGTAATGCTTCCTGTGTCTGTGTGGAGTGACTATACGTCTCCGCTGGGTCATGAGTTGTGTTTATGTTTGCCAGATCTATAAATGTATACCACTACTACTACCACTTCTACTACTACCACTTCTATTACTACTACTTCATCTTCTGCTATCATTACTACTACTACTACTACTAATGATGATGATGATGATGATGATGATGATGATGATGATGATGATGATGATAATCCGTTTCATTAATTAGTGAACGACACACAATATTTATGTATATGCTCACGAGGTCGATACTACACCAGTCTTAGTTATGAATGAAGCACCACATGTCTACTACTACCACAACTACAGCGTTACTTATGAATGAATTCCTACTATGTTAGTCACTGTTATGAATGAGTTACTGTGTTCCTTTTTGAGGCTCATGAATGGATAACCTTGGTTGTTCTTTGGCCATGAGTGGGATTGCTTAAACTAGTCTTTGATCTTGAGTGGGAATGTTTAAACTAGTCTTTTGTCATGAGTGGGATTGCTTAAACTAGTCTTTTTGATCTTGAGTGGGGTTGCTTAAACTAGTATTTGGTCATGAGTGGAATTGTTTAAACTAGTCTTTGGTCATGAGTGGGATTGTTTAAACTAGTCTTTAGTCATGAGTGGGATTGCTTAAACTAGTCTTTAGTCATGAGTGGGGTTGATTGAACCAATCTTTTGTCATGAGTGGGATAGCTAAATCAGTCTTTGATCATGTGTGGGATTGCTTGTACTACCATGAGTGGGATACATTGCGTGTGTAGGCAGTTAGACTGAGAAACATCTTTTGTCATGAGGTGTAAATCAATGAGTGAGTCTGACTCGAGTTCATGACGGCTGTAAATTGATTGTGTATCTTCGTGATTCTTTTACTACGTACGACTTGACTCATGACCAAAGTGTTCTGTTTGTCTTCACTCATGACCAACGTGTTCTGTTTGTCTTCACTCATGACCAAAGTGTTCTGTTTGTCTTCACTCATGACCAACGTGTTCTGTTTGTCTTCACTCATGACCAAAGTGTTCTGTTTGTCTTCACTCATGACCAACGTGTTCTGTTTGTCTTCACTCATGACCAGCGTGTTCTGTTTGTCTTCACTCATGACCAGCGTGTTCTGTTTGTCTTCACTCATGACCAACGTGTTCTGTTTGTCTTCACTCATGACCAACGTGTTCTGTTTGTCTTCACTCATGACCAACGTGTTCTGTTTGTCTTCACTCATGACCAACGTATTCTGTTTGTCTTCACTCATGACCAACGTGTTCTGTTTGTCTTCACTCATGACCAACGTGTTCTGTTTGTCTTCACTGATGACCAACGTGTTCTGTTTGTCTTCACTCATGACCAACGTGTTCTGTTTGTCTTCACTCATGACCAAAGTGTTCTGTTTGTCTTCACTCATGACCAACGTGTTCTGTTTGTCTTCACTCATGACCAACGTGTTCTGTTTGTCTTCAGTGTTCTGTTTGTCTTCACTCATGACCAACGTATTCTGTTTGTCTTCACTTTGTCTTCACTGACCAACGTGTTCTGTTTGTCTTCACTCATGACCAACGTGTTCTGTTTGTCTTCACTCATGACCAACGTGTTCTGTTTGTCTTCACTCATGACCAACGTGTTCTGTTTGTCTTCACTCATGACCAAAGTGTTCTGTTTGTCTTCACTCATGACCAACGTGTTCTGTTTGTCTTCACTCATGACCAACGTGTTCTGTTTGTCTTCACTCATGACCAACGTGTTCTGTTTGTCTTCACTCATGACCAGCGTGTTCTGTTTGTCTTCACTCATGACCAGCGTGTTCTGTTTGTCTTCACTCATGACCAACGTATTCTGTTTGTCTTCACTCATGACCAACGTGTTCTGTTTGTCTTCACTCATGACCAGCGTGTTCTGTTTGTCTTCACTCATGAACAACGTATTCTGTTTGTCTTCACTCATGACCAACGTGTTCTGTTTGTCTTCACTCATGACCAACGTGTTCTGTTTGTCTTCACTGATGACCAACGTGTTCTGTTTGTCTTCACTCATGACCAACGTGTTCTGTTTGTCTTCACTCATGACCAAAGTGTTCTGTTTGTCTTCACTCATGACCAACGTGTTCTGTTTGTCTTCACTCATGACCAACGGTTCTGTTTGTCTTCACTCATGACCAAGTACTGGTTTGTCTTCACTATGACCAACGTGTTCTGTTTGTCTTCACTCATGACCAACGTGTTCTGTTTGTCTTCACTCATGACCAACGTGTTCTGTTTGTCTTCACTCATGAACAACGTGTTCTGTTTGTCTTCACTCATGACCAACGTGTTCCGTTTGTCTTCACTCATGATCAACGTGTTCTGTTTGTCTTCACTCATGACCAACGTGTTCTGTTTGTCTTCACTCATGAACAACGTGTTCTGTTTGTCTTCACTCATGATCAACGTGTTCTGTTTGTCTTCACTCATGAACAACGTGTTCTGTTTGTCTTCACTCATGACCAACGTGTTCTGTTTGTCTTCACTCATGATCAACGTGTTCTGTTTGTCTTCACTCATGATCAACACACCACATCTGCTTCTGGTTCATGAATGGATCCGGTTGTTTGTTTTGGTTGATTAATATTTAGCCTGATCATCACGACACCTCAATGACGCACTTTGTATTTATTCATGTGGTGGTTTTATATTCATGAAGGTCACTGGCTTTTTTGGGGTGGTAATGAATGAATGCCATGCAGATAATGCAGTATTTCTTTACACTAATGAATGAAGTACTACAACTACATTTTGTCATGAACAGATGGAATACATATTATTTAAGCTCATGACTGGGACACTACGCCCACACTATCATGATTGTACACAATAATGAGTCACGATACTCATCCAAGGGTGTAGTGAATAACGTGCTGTGTCTTGTGTTGATGAATATATGACGTACAGTACCAAGTATAATACGTTTATGAGTGAAGCCTTAGAAATTTGGCTATTGTTTGGGTGAATAGACAACAATCTATTAGAATGTTGTAGAAGCAATGCTTTAAGGTCACTCCACTTGTTGTGAGTTGTAGACTGAAGAACTTGTGTGAGTTTTGAGTTATGAGTTGTGATTTGGGAAATGAGGTGCTTGTGAGTATTATGAGTTGTGAATTGTAGACTGGGGTTCTGGCAAGTATTATGAGTTGTGGTGTATTATGAGTTGTGAGTTGTGGATTGTGGACTGAGGTACTTGTGAGGATTAAGAGCTGTGAGTTGTGAGCCATTGTAACACGTATTCAATATTGATTCAGTAAAATGAGAAATTTGACCAAGTGCTTTCAACACCGTACTTGATGGCGAGGTAAAACTAACGTGTTTGTATAACTGAGTGAGGGAAAACAGAGGAAGAGAGAGAGAGAGAGAGATGATTGGTAGATGGATAGACTGATAAAGAGAGGCAGAGAGAGAGAGAGAGGGGGGTAAAGAGTGACAGGTAGATAGAAAGAGAAAACGGGAATGATTGGTAGAAGGATAGACATATAAAGAGATAGAGAGAGAGGGGGGAGGGGGGGGGGCAATGATAAATACAGTATTTCTGAGGTGTAATTCTCGCTGTAATTCTGCTGTAATTCCCACCATAATTAACGCTATAATTTCTGCTGTAATTCCAAGTGTAATTCCTGCTGTAATTCCAGCTGTAATTTCTGCTGTAATTCGCACTGTATTTTTTATTTCTTTTGTATTTCCTGCTGCAATACCTGCTGTAATTCACGCTGTGATTCCTACTGTAAATCCAAATGTAATTCACACTTTAACCCTCGCTGCAATTCCCATTGTAATTTTTGTTTTAATTCCTACTGTAATTCTTGTTGTAATCCCACTGTAAATCCTGCTGCAACTCCTGCTGTATTTCTTACTGTAATTCCTAATGTAATTCCTGTTGTAATCCCCACTGTAATTCCTACTGCAACTCCTGCTGTAATTCCCACTGTAATTCCTACTGTAATTCCTGTTGTAATTACCATAGCCAAAGGTTCGTTCACAGTAATTCTAATACAACAAATAACACACAAGAAGACACACTAATGGTGAGGTGAAACGTGAACACTGATAATACACACACTGGGGGCAGCAGAAATGAGACACAATTTCACCTGGAGAGAGAAAATATTGACCTATTAGTTAATTAAGGCGGAATAAATTCTCACCAGTGTGTGTGTGTGTGTGTGTCCAAAGTGAACGAAATATACATATGTTAAAAAATACCGAGGTTAACAAAATAAATGTGTTAAATGCATGTAAAATAGATACATATAAAATACATATATGAATAGAATATATTTACATAAGCTGAAAAATTTATATCGGTTAGATTTCTAGATATAGATGATGAGTAATTTAGACATACAAATGGATAAACAACACCAAAATTTATATAAGTTGAAAAATGTATATATCTTGGTGATAGTCTTATAGAAGAAATAGAATTTGATATAAGAATAAATACCCGGATATAGACATAATTTTTATACGTTAAGTTAAAGGTTTTACGTGTAATAAAATAGCCTGAAATATCTAGATAGGTATAGTTAGCTGGTCCGTTCCCCCTCTCATATAAATAGAGCCCTAGGCTATATGCATTTATAAAAAGCATAGCCGAAAGTAGGGAGTGTTCTATACTTTGGGGGATAAATGTATGGGGTTAAAATCGTATAGGTTTTACACAATGGGGTGTGTGTGGATCTCATTTAATCTAATTATAACCAAATAAAACTTAATTTATTCCTGCTTAACCTAATCAGTGTGATATAAAGTATTGCAAACTAACCTAACCTAAACTAACATAGCCTAACCTAACACAAGCGTTTCTACAGTAGATCCTAGCGTATTCTAACCTGTGCTAACCTAACTTAAAATACCCTACTCTAACCTAACTTAATTACCTTGTAAGACAATAGAACACGCATCGGAAAATATACAGAATTCACACACACACAACATAATGGAAGCCCCTGGAAATCGAGGATGGTCGGCCCATGGGCCTCCTAGGCTTGAATTTGTTTAAGGTGTAGAAGCTGTCGCCAACACAACAACCACACCCTAAGTTAACGAGCTGCATGACCCAGTGTCACGGAATAGTCCGAGAAGACCGGACAACTCCGCAACTGCACTGGCTAACCATTACCCCGGAACACGTTCCGCAAATCGATTAACATCCAGGTTCCCAATTACTGCTGGGTAGACAGAGGCAAATGGCATAAAGAAACTTGCCCATAGTTTCACCCTGCCCGAAGCACACACACACACACACCCACAGCCTTCATAGGGTAAGGACGTGTGTAGTCGGCGCTGCCCGCTGACGCTGTTATTTACTTAGACTTTAGCAAAGCATTTGACAGAGTACCGCATCAGAGGCTTCTGAGAAAAGTTAAGGCTCATGGTATCGAGGGGAAAGTTTTAAATTGGATAAAATCATGGCTCACCGATAGAACGCAGAGGGTCAGCGTAGATGGTGTTAAATCTGAGTGGGGTCGTGTGACCAGTGGGGTTCCCCAGGGGTCAGTACTAGGCCCACTCTTGTTCATAATCTACATAAACGATCTAGATACTGGGATCAGCAGTGACATAAGCAAGTTTGTGGATGACACCAAAATAGGGCGGCAGATTAATTCAGGGCAGGATGCAAATGCATTACAGGAGGATCTAAATAAACTGCAGGGGTGGTCTGAAAAATGGCAAATGAAATTCAACACCAGCAAGTGCAGCGTACTTAATATTGGAAGAACAAATACTTATAATGTATACAGCCTTAACAACATCAACCTAAAGAAGTCGACTTGTGAAAGAGACCTAGGGGTACTTGTAAGCCCGGACCTACGGCCTAGAAAACAGTGCGTTAATGTTCGAAATAAGGCAAACAGAGTATTGGGTTTTATATCTAGAAGTGTAAGTAATAAGAGTGCAGAGGTCTTATTGCAACTATATCTTGCGCTAGTCAGGCCGCACCTCGATTATGTGGTTCAGTTCTGGTGCCCTTATTATAGAATGGATATCAATTCACTAGAGTCGGTGCAGCGAAGAATGACGAAAATGATTCCGGGACTTAGAAACATTCCATATCAGGATAGGTTAAAGAAACTAAACTTGCATTCCCTAGAAAGACGAAGAGTGCGGGGAGATATGATAGAAGTATTCAAGTGGGTGAAAGGAATCAATAAAGGTGATATAGATAAAGTTCTTATAATATCTTAGCAGGATAGGACTCGGAACAACGGATTCAAGTTGGATAAGTTTAGGTTTAGGAGGGAGATAGGAAGGAACTGGTTTACAAATAGGGTGGTGGAGGAGTGGAACAAGCTTAGCAACTTTGTAGTAAGTGCTGGAACGCTGGAAAATTTCAAAGGGAGGTTGGATAGATTCATGGATGATAGAGAGTGGTAGTAACTCTCGACAGGAGCTGCCATGCACAGGCCAACCGGCCTGTGCATGTTCTTATGTTCTTATGACGCGGCCGTGGTGTCTTGACCATGGAGACAGCTACCAGCCCGGTCGGTCGGGCTCTCCCCTTTCCCATATCCTCCTTCCCACCTGGATTTATCAACAACCTTACACCAACAGTACAGTGCAAAAATTGACGATCAACCCACATGTGATATACAAAAGTGGCAATTTCAACTCGAAGGAAAATTTAAAAAACACAGCAATACTGATTGTGGCTGGATCTGACCTAGCCTGACCTGACCTCACGTCTTCACCTGACCTAACCTGAAGGATGGAGGACACCTGCATTGCCCCAAGCTACCATCCTGGCCACGTGGGCACACACCTGCCCAACCGCATCCAGCCCATACGAGCACGAACTGGTTGCTACAAGAACAGCCCAGTCCCAACCATTGTAAAAATTATCAACACCTAATTATTATATATCATATTTGTATCACTTATGTTAATTGTACATCATTTGTAAATCAAGAGACCCATTCCCCAATTATGTAATTGTATATTTTCAGCCTTCCGGCTGCCATGCTCTTTCAATAAACCGTTAATTATTATTTTTATTATTACAAACATCATGCAGAAATGTAATCATAACACTCACCAGGAATGATTCTATAACCGTAAAATAAAAAAAATAAAAACAATAGCGAGAATTATATTTTTGGAGGTCGGGGGAAATTCTTGGTTGAAAATCCCTAGTTAGGTGTCAGGGAGGGAGGTAGTTATGACGTGGCGGTGAAGTGTTATACCCACTCGTTTGCGGGTCGTAATGATAGATGCCGTATAACATGGTCATAAAACCTATCATTTTATCTTTATTTTAAAGTATATTTTCATTTAGGTTCCCATGAAAAATTATACACTGTTACCAGTTATATGAAAAAGGGTTAGGTTAGGTTAGGTGTGGTGCGGTGTGGTTCGGTTAGGGTTAGGTATCCCTCACTCGAATCAGACCTTACATGTCAGGTCAGGAGAAGCGGATGTTAAGCTGAATAAACGTTTCGAAAATGTTCAATTATTTTAGAAAAGAATGTTATTGTTGTTCTTGTTCTTGTTGTTATTTTGTCCTTGCTGTTTTTGTTGTATACAGAAGTGTTTTATGTTTTTGTATAAAGGACTCACTTTATAACATAGTTTTGTTTGTTTGTAATAATTATGTTAATGCTTAATATAGTGAGGTTTATTTTAATAATAATATTAACTGCCTGTAAATTAGCAATGGTTCATTAGTATAGTAAATGTATTACAATAGTAATAATATAACTAATAACGATATTATTATTATTATTATTATTATTATTATTATTATTATTATTATTATTATTATTACCTTCCAATAATCATCAATATTAGTAATACTGGAACCCTCCCTTGCACCACGACGGCCCACACTGCCCCCTCCTCCTCACACAGGGCCTGGAGCTGCAGCAGAAAATAAACGTAGGAGTGATGGTGGTAGGCAGGTCGCTGGTGCTGCAGAAGGTGACGAGGAAGCAGGCTGGTAGTTACACCTGTTCTGCCACCAACACCCAGGGTCATAACACCTCGGCCCCCATACTGTTGTCTGTTAAGTGTGAGTATAGTCAGTCTCTCTCTCTCTCTCTCTCTCTCTCTCTCTCTCTCTCTCCCTCTCATATATATATATATATATATATATATATATATATATATATATATATATATATATATATATATATATATATATATATATATATATATATATATGATGTGAATTACATATATACCTAGATCACACCTACAGTGATTTACTTGTATATATATATATATATATATATATATATATATATATATATATATATATATATATATATATATATATATATATATATATATAAATTAAAGTAATTTCCTTCTTCCTTCAGTTATCCCATAAGGTCAAAGTTTAATCTCTTGAATCCTTTTTCCACCACTTACCCCTGTTGGTGTCTCGCAGCCACGTCTCCCTCCTTGTGACTCATCCATTTCTCTCATCTTGTCTCTCTCAACCACTTCTCCCCTCTTGTCTCTCTCAAACACGTCTCTCATCTTGTTTCTCTCTACCATGTCTCACATTTTTGTCTCTCTCAAATACGTCTCTCCACCTTAGTGTCTTCCTCCTGATCTTTTCTGTGATTGGTTCATTCATACTCTCTGTCTTTTCTCGTTGAATTAATAAAGACTGCCTAGGTACCTAATATCTGTAGGAAAGGTAGATTCTATTAATCAATGTAACAGAAATAAACACCATTGTCATAATCTCATCAGGTGTTGAATATATTGATGTGGGTTACTGCCAGACGTCAACAGCTTAACACAGGACTAGTGAGTTATTAATTGTAATTGTTAGGATTTAATATATCAAAAATTAATACATGTAATACAGGGGGCAACATGTGCAACATGCAGGTATTAATAGGTGCAAGTTATGTATTTGAAACTCACTCGTGAGTCATATGGAGCAACACAAGGTAAACAGGTGTGTCGTATGTATTGACAGACTCACCTGTGTGTCGCGTGGAGCAGACGGACGTGTATGGGGTCGGACGACACGAGAAGACGACGGTGACGTGTCGTGTGGAGGCCGACCCTCCCGTCACCGCCTACCGCTGGGCCTTCAACAACACCGGAGAGTTTGTTGACATTCCAATGTGAGTCATGCACTTTACACCTGTCCCGTGTAAGAAACGCGGG